AACATAGATTTAAAAACTTGGAGAGGTTAATATACTGCTGGGAAATAGGTTCCAGCCTCAGATCTCAATCTGGTTATTCTAAAAGCTCCAGTGGTAAATTTCTGTCATTGTTTATTTTTCACGTGCTTGTTTAAAAAAAATTAAAGCATAGCTATAGATGAAAATATTTGCAAGTTTATAGATGGTAAAGTATTTCAGCTTTGGAGATTTCCTTTTTCTTTATTCCTGGATTGAGTATGGTCATTTCCTTGCTTGAAATTGTGTGTATATTTTTTTTGTTTGTTTTGTTTTGTTTTTGAGACAGGGTCTCGCTTTGTAGTTCAGGCTGGCTTTGAACTCTCTATGTAGCCTAGGCTGGCCTCAAACTCACAGTGATCCTCCTGCCTCAGCCTCCCAAGTTCTGGGATTACAGGTGTGCATGACCAAGCCCGGCTCAAAATTATGCATTTCAAAGTGATTTCTATCAGGTGTCCATTTTCCCAGGTAAAAGTAAGAATTGAAACTAATTCTAAATTATTTCAGGAATGTTTTATCAAATGATAAATCTGTAACTTTGTAGTCCGCATTCATTTATTTTATATCTTAGAGTTGAAGGAATGTATTAATGCTCAGGTTAAGTACATAGAGTATGGAATTAAACAGGTTGGCTCAAGGCCTTTCCAACCATTTAACTTTCTGTGAACCCTGGACAGGTGTTCTCTGTCAATTTCTTGTTTCTCTATCAATTTTCTTATCCATAAAATAGGAATCACCATACCTATAACATTGTTATTACTGGACAAAATGAAATGCATAACAAATGCCCTGCCCTTAGGACTTGTCATAAATTTTAGATTTAGGATCACCTTACCTCCTCAGTTTTAAAATAGCTTTTGCTGAGTGTTCAAAATACAAAGCATTACACTGGTTTCCATTTTGAGGTTATGCAAACACTAATAATAGGACTGAACTGTCTAATTTATGGGGTGACTTGGCTATGAAAGTGGCTGTCTACTGCCTCGCATACCTCTAAAATATACCCCTAAGTATAACATGGTTGAAAGCAAGCTTTTCATATAGAGGAGCAGGTTTTTTGTTTCTTTTTTTCCCTCTCCGTCGTAAAGTGCCTTTCCATTTTACAAGCCTTCTTTTAAATTCAGAATTAAATGCAAAGTAGCAGTTTCATTTCTTGCCTTGTAAAACATTAAAGACAGAGAAAATTATCAGGTGTGCTGAAAATTGGCCATAGAAATTTCTTCTATCCTGAATTGAAGTGATTCTTTAATCCTCCTGTGTTTTCCTGTCATCATTCTAATCTGCATCAGGAATATAGTTTTGTTCCTTTTTTTTAAACAGACAAGATGGTTAGTAGTTGACTTATATTACTGTTATGTTTTCTCCTTCTTTCTCCTTTTATTTATCCTAGCCTAAAATCTTCTTGAAGTCTGGTGCTTTTTTCTTCTTTATGAACTTGAGTCTCCAAAAAGTATGGATAAACCTTCTTAATGTAAGCTTGTTTTATTTCCTCTCCCAAAAGGTCTGTTTGAATAATGTATACCCCAAGTCAGTGATACCCATGAGTTCATTCTCTTATGTGTTTTATTTTTAAAAATTAAATGTTTTGTTATTAATTGCACAATTATTCTGCTTTTATTCTCCACTTGTGGATTTATTAGGGATCTTTTTCTTTCTAGGTCATGTCCTAAGTTCTTTACAGTTGTCATTTAAAAAGTTTTTATTATCATTTAAAAAGTTTTCTCTGCATTGCCTTTTAAAGTCCCTTAATGATATCTGCCTGTCTCTTTCTCATACATATCTTCTCACTTTGCTCAAGATAAGCTGCTGGTGTGGTCCTTTTGATTAAGAAATGGATTAGGAATCCAAACTCCATTCTTCAGTATCAGTCATTTACCTTTTCTGTTCATCTTTCTCTTTTATTGTTCCAGTCTTCACTTATGATATGTAAATAGTCATCTGTACTCCTATATATTTCACTTTTTGATGAATCAGAGATACTACCTAGGTTTTATTTTTTTCCTAGCAGTATTTACAGCAGGTGATTCAAAGGAAGAGATGTTTGTCAGGTTTAATAAATGTCAGTTGGCTGTTATGTCATCCAAGATACAAAATCCAGAAATAAGCAAAGTACCAAACCAATGTTCAGGATTGCATTTGGCTGTCTCTATATTTATTAGTAATCTGTCAGTTGATTGTATAACAAATGTCTTCTTTCTGGTAACAATAAAGCTTTCTCTAAACTTAATGTTACTTGTGGTTCTGGCATGCTTCAGAGCATGAATTAATGATGTTTTTGCAGAAAATTCGATAAATCTCTTGGGGTCCTCTTATCAGAGTATCAATTTTGAAGTGGACATCAGAATTGCCCTGAGATTGCTACGTTTTATTCTACTGAAGGCTCCTTTTGTGTCAGGCAGACTTGTAGGCTCTGGAGATACATTAGTGAGCTAAACAGACTGCCCCTGTCTGAATAGTCTAATGGGATTAGGTGAATAATATATAATAAAGTGCACATTAAAGTATGAAAGGTGCTATCCAGAGAAAAGGAGTAAGGGCATAAAGAAATAGGGAATATAGAATGAGGAGAATCGTTATAGTCTGAAACACAGTGGTTAAGGGAAGGTCTCAATGTAAAGGTGACATCTGAACATAGATTGAAGGAGAGGAATGTGTAAACCATATGAATATTTAGGGAATGAGCATTTGTACAAAGTCTCTGGCTAATAGTCTAAAAACAAGCAGGAAAAACGAAGAAAGCAATTTCAAGATAAAAGTTGTTTAAAAATGTTTTTTCCACTCAGGTGTATACCAAAAGAAATCATGTTCACGCAAAACTTGTATACACATGTTCATATTAGCATTATTTGTAATAACTAAAAAGTAGAGACAACACAGATGTCAGTCAGTTGATGAGTAAATAAAATGCGGTATATGCAGGGGCTAGGGATTTAGCTCGGTGGTTCTGCCACCTGCCTTGCAGGCACAAGGTCCCGAGTTCAATGCCCGGTACCAAAAAAAAAAAGTGGTATATCCATACAATAGAATATTATTTGGCAGTGTAGCTAGAAGAAGTGAATCTCTAGTGATAGGAAACCTGTGAGTGACTACTAACAGGGCTTCTTACTGGAGTGATGAAAGTGTTCTAAAAATAATGATGGTTGTAGAACTCTGAGTATACTAAAAACCATGGAATTGTATGCTTTAAAAGTAAGTTTATGGTGTATATATTGTATCTCAAAAGATGTTACATTAATGTTTTTGGATGAAAATTATTTTTATTAATTATGAAAAGCATACCTGATTTTAAAATCGGTATATAAAAGGTGTGTAAGCCAAGTTTAAGTGAACCATAATTCCATATATTTTCTTGGCAGTATTAGCAGTGTGGTATGTATCCTACAGTTTTTGTTTTGTTTTTTTGAGACAGTCTCCCTCTGTAATTCAAGCTGGTCTTGAACCCATTATGTAGCCCAGGCTGGCCTAGAACTTATAGTGATCTTCCTGCCTCAACCTCCTGAGTGTTAGGATTACAGATGTGTGCCACCATGTCCCAATTTTTTTTTTTTTATTGTGATTCTAATAAGACCAGGGAGAACTAATCCAGCCACAAAAGGAACCACTTACTGTATTCATTTTTAACTTCTATTCAAAATAAATGATGTAGTATTTCCAGAAATTATGTCTTTCTGTAATAGTCATCCCAATAATTTATCCTATGAAATTAATTAAATTTGGATTTTTTTCGTGAAATAAATGGATTCTGGATTCTGTTCATTTGTGGATCATATTCACCAAATATCCCCCATAATATGTAGTATCACTGCATGTTACCCTAAGGAAGCTCATTCCATGTATGGTTGATCACTCAGGTTCAGCAGTCCTGGTCTTTTCCTATAGCTCATTGTCCAGAGGTGTCCACTAAACAAACTGCTATACAAGCCTTTCAACACTTCATCTGTTTCTTTACTCTCCTCGACATGGTCTGGTAACAGTTTGGAGGTATGAGTAGCCCTGTCCTGATGCATTCATAAAATAGAATACTGTGTGACCTTGAAACTCATTTTCTCAAGGCATATTTAATCCCATTGGGAAAAGTTGTTACTCTGTGAAAACATTGACCAGTACAAATGACATAATGTTTAAAAAATGGTTTTGTTTTATTTTTGGTTTTTTGAGACAAGGTCTTGCTATGTAGTTCAGGCTGGTCTTGAACTCACTGTGTAGCCCAGGCTGACCTCGAACTCACAGCAATCCACCTGCCTCAGCCTCCTGAGTGCTGGGATTACAGGCATGCATCAACACACCCTGCAAAATAAAAAACATGATTTTTCTAAATGTAAGAATGGAAGCTAGAATGATCACCTTTAGATGCTAGGTTGGATAATGACTAACTTTATGAAGATTTTAGATTTCTTACTGTGAACGTGCATTATTTTTATAATGAGAAAATTATTTTTAAATTCCTGTGTACAAAAGATCCCCTTTAAAGTAACAGTGATAACAAAGTGATTGGCTTTGCAAAAACCTTTTGGAATTGGTTTGATGCCTGGCAAATAGTTTCAGATGCTTTTAATATGTTAAAACATTGTATTTGGCAATGTGAGATTCATTTTCTTTATCTAACTATTTTTTACTCAGTTCCATACATTAGGATGTTGATTGAAGGCAATTTTTGTCTTCAAGAAACCTACTCCAGGGTTGGGGATTTAGGTCAGTGGTGCCATGCCTGGCAAGCACAAGGTCCTGAGTTCGATTCCCAGTACCAAAAACAAAGAGAAACCACTCCAGATAGGAGGGTGACGGGTTGGGGGAGACCAGTTGAACAGTCACAGTATGGGTGCTAAAGGCTATGGGAGCATTGAACAAACTACTGTCCTTAAAAACCTTATGGTTTTGTAGAGATGTGAAAGTGAGAGACATATTGTATCTTTGGAATATGACATTCAAGAAAAGTTAAGAGCATCTAACACTGTACTAAGTATATCTATACTTTTATCTTACAGGATTTAGCACAAAATGAACATAATTAGAGAAAATAAGGATTTGGCATGTTTCTATACAACAAAGCATTCATGGAGGGGAAAGTAAGTACTGCTGTTGATTTTATTTTTCTGTGCTTCTCTAAAGTAGCATTTTAAACATTACTCTATTTCAATATCTTAAATAATACCACACAGGGCCAGGGATTTAGCTCAGTGGTTTCAGCACCTGCCTCGAAAGCGCAAGTTCCCAAGTTCTATCCCCGGTACCAAAAAAAATAATAATAATACCACACAACTTAGTAGCTATTCAGCTCTTCTCTTTTGAAAAGCGCTATGTGCATATTTTAAGCACAAATACTACATTTAGATTAATACTACATTTAGATTATTGAAAAGCGTTATGTGCATATTTTAAGCACAAATACTACATTTAGATACATACATTTAGATTATTGTTTTGTTTTTTTTTTTCTTTTGACATTTCTGGTTTTCTGTATCTTAGGAAGGAGTTTTGTAAGAATCAAAAGATATTTAAAAAGGAAGTGAACCAGCTAGGTACTCTTTTTGGCTGTTATCAATGATTTTTGAGATTATGCATTAGTGGCAGAACATTAACACTACAGTTTTATTATCCAGAGTGTATCCTGTGTGTAATCATATTTTTATATCATTTGACTATCAGAGCAAATATATCATTAATTCTGGTATTCCATATAAGCTTTTTTTCTTTTTTTTTTTGAGACAGGGTCTTGCTATATAGCTCAGGATGACCTTGAACTTGCTATGTAGCCCAGGCTGGCCTCAAACTTGCAACAATCCTCCTCCCTCAGCCTCCAGAGTGCTGGGATTACAGGCATGTGCCCGTATAAGCTTTTCAAAAAACCTGTAGTGAAATTTAAAATAATTGGATTTGACCTTTTACTTATTTGAGAAGAGAGTGCATTGGCTTCTTTTGTTTTGGGTAGCTGTCCTAGTTAGACCAAGGTATAAATGCTTCGTTGCCTTTCGTAAAATGGATGGTGATTCCTTCTCCCTAAAGTGTTATAAAGATAATGAAGTGTTATGGATTATATGAAAGATTTTAAGGATTTTTTTGTTTTGTTTTGGATTTTTCAGATAGGTTCTCACTGTGTAGTTCAGGCTGGCCTTGAACTCACTGTGTAGTACAGGCTGCCCTCACAGCAGATCCTCCTGCCTCAGCCTCCTTAGTGCTGGACTCACAGGCATGCACCATCACACCCAGTCATGGATTTTAAATTATGCCTTTGGCACATTGAGTATTAAATGAATGATGCTTGTTGACTTTTGCAAAAATTGGCGTAAACAGTAGTATGAGTCTTTAGTGCTTTGGATCAGACGTAAAGAAACGTGTATTTATTTATTTTTAACTTTTATTAGTACATGTTTGCACCACATAATGATTAAATTCCTTGTGGGGAATTGGTACATGTACATAATGTACCTCAGTTCTTTTGTTTTTTCCCTTTTCTCCAGCTCTGTTTAAAAAAATTTTTTTTTCTTTTTGTCAGCACATGTATTTATTTTATAAGTCCTTATCAAGGTAATTATCATGAACAGATTAACAACCAGACTAACAGGCCAAAATAACATATAAAGCACATAAGACAATTATAATAAATCAAGGTACACTTTTAAATACATCAGCCATCCTGGATCACAATAACTTATTTTTCCCCATTGTCTTTTATTTTTCACTTTATTTATATATTGGATTTCTCACATAAGGTAAACTGTGTGATATTTAAGCTTGTGTGTCTGATTTACTTAATATTTTCATCTCAAGGTGCACCCATTCTCCTACAAATGACTCGAATTTATCCTTCTTTATGGCAGAGTAGTACTCCATTGTGTATAAATACTACATTTTCTTTATCCATGGACATATAGGCTGGTTCCAGGATTTAGCTGTTATGAATTGTGCTGCTGTAAACATTGATGTCTTTAACTCTTTTGGGAAGATACCTAGAAGGGGAATAGCTGAGTCAAATAGAATTTCTAGTTTTAGTGTTTTTGAGGGATCTTCATACTGATTTCCATAGTGTTTGTACCATTTTACATTCCCACCAACAATGAAGAAGCACCCCCCGACCCCAGCATTTGTTGTTTGATTTCTTGATGGTAAATAGCCATTTTATCTGGAGGGAGATGGAATCTCAGTATTATTTTCATTTGCATTTCACAAATGGCCAGCAGTGTTGAACATTTTTTCATGTATTTATCAGCCATTCATACTTCTTCATTTGACAAGTGTCTATTCATTTAAGATGCTAGTTTTTAGATTGGTTCTTTAAATTTGGCAGGTCTAATTTTTTTGAGTTCTTTATATAATCTAGATAATAGTCCTTTGAGGAATAGTTGGCAAAAGTTTTTTCCCATCTTGTAGATTGTCTCTTCATTCCATTGGTGGTTTCCTTTCCTGTGCAAAGCTTTTAAATTGGATGTGATCCCTTTTGTTGATTCTTGGTATTATTCCTTGTGCAACTGGAGTTCTGTTCAGAAAGTCTTTGTCTACACCTGTGTCTTCAGATGTTTAACCTGTTTTGTTTACTAACATGTTTTAATATTTAGGTCTTTGATCCATTTTGATTTGAGTTTAGTGCATGGTGAGAGATATGGGTTCAATCTTCAGCTAGTGGATAGCCGGTTTTCCCAGCAGTATTTGTTAAAGAAGCTGACTTTCTTCCAGTGAAAGGATTTAGACCCTTTGTCATAAATAAGGTCGCTGAGGATGCATGGAGTTGTTTCTGTATCCTTTATTCTGTTCCATTGATCTACAAGTGTGTGTGGGGGGTTTTGCCAATACCGTGATGTTTTTATCACTGTAACTTTATAGTATAACTTGAAGTCAGAGATTGTGATGCCCGTAGCCTTGCCGTTGGTGCCCAGAATTGCTTTTGCTACTCTAGGTCTCATCTGGTTTCATATGAATTTTAGGATTGCATTCTCTAGTTCTGTGAGAAATACTCTTGGTATTTTGATTGAGAGTATGTTACATCTGCATAACAGTTTTGGAAGTATGGCCAATTTGACTATATCAGTTCTGCTTATACAGGAATGGGATGTTATTTCACACACACACACACACACACACACCCAGTTTAGCTCAGGACCTTGTGCTTGCCAGGTAGGTGCAGCACTGCTGAGCTACATCCCCAGTCCTTCATTCCATTTTCTGCCATCTTCAATCTCCTTTTTCAGAGTACTATAGTTCACTGGAGAGGTCTTTTACTTTGTTTGTTGTGCTAATTCCCAAGTATTTCATTTTCCTTGATGCTATTGTGAAAGGTATTATTTCCCTGATTTCCTTTCTTGATGAATTTGTTACTGATATACAGGAATGCTGTTGACTTGAATGTTAATTACTATCCTAGTATGCTACTGAATTTAGTCATTAATTCTAAGAGTCTTTTGGTGGAGTTTTTGTGGTCCTCTATGTAGAGGATCATGTCATTTGCAAATAATAATTTGACTTCTTTCTTTCCTCTCCATATCCTTTTTGTTTGTTTTTCCTGTCTAATTGCTCTGGCTAATGCTTTGAAAACTGTGTTAAATAGGAGTGGTGACGGCAGACATCCTTGCCCTTATTCCTGATTTTAGAGTGAAAGCTTTCAGCTTCTCTCCATTTAATGCAGTATTGGCCATCAGTTTTGTCAGTGATGGCTTTTATCAGATTGAGATAAAGACCTTCTATGCATACTTTGTTTAAGGTGTTTATCATGATTGGATGTTGGATTTTGTCAAATGCTTGAGAAAATGTGATTTTGGTCCCTCATTCTGTATATGTGGTATATTACATTTATTGATTTGCGTGTGTTGAACCGTGCCTGCATCCCTGAAATGAATCCTACTGGGTCATTCATGGTATATGATTGTTTTGATGATTTACTGCATTCTGTTTGTCAGTCAGTATCTTATTGAGGACTTTTTTTTGAGACAGGATCTTGCTGTCTAGTTCAGGCTGACCTTGAACTCACTATGTAGCCCAGGCTGGCCTCAAACTCTCAGTGATACTCTTGCTTCAGAGTGCTGGCACTACAGGCGTGCTCTACCACACCTGCCTGTAGATACCTATTTAGTCCATTTGTTTGATAGTTCTGGTTTTTCTTTTTGTTTTAGTTGATCCATCCTTGTGTGTAACAATGGGGTATTAAGGTCTCCCATTATAATTGTATTGGTGTTTATCTGATTTTTTAATGTCCAGAGCTGCTGGTATTTGGTGCTTATATGTTTATAATTGTTATCTCTTCACGTTAGAGTCTTCCCTTAACTGATAAGTAGTGACCTTCTTTGTCTCTTCCCATCAGTTTTGGCTTGAAATTCACTTATCTAAAATTAGAATTGCTAGTCCTGCTTTTTTTGTTCAGGTTCCTGTTGCATGGAATATTCTTTTCCATTCTTGGGTTTTTAGTCTGTGGATTTATTTTTGAATTGAATATATTTCTTATGTAATGTGTATTGTTGGCTTTTGGTTCTTGATCCATTCTGCCAGTTTGTGTCTTTTGACTGGGGAATTGAGACTATTCACGTTGAGAGCTATTAATGAAAGGTACTGATTTATTCCTGTCATTGCATTATTTCCCTGTTGCTGTTTTCCTTATACTTTTTTCCTTTTGCTTAGCTGTTCATCCCACTAGTGTGTTCATTTTTTTGACTTATTGGCATTGTTGACTTCATTGTTTCTTTGTAGGATGTCCTTGAGAATTTTTTTTTTCCCAGTACTGGAGATCGAACTCAGGACCTTGCACTTGCTAGGCAAGTGTGGTGCCACTGAGCTAAATCCCTGGCTCTTGAGAATTTTTTGTAATGCTGGTTTGGTGGTCATGAATTTCTTGAGGTGCTCCTTATTGTGGAGATACCTTACTTCTCCATCAATTTTGAAGGAAAGTTTTATATAAGTCGGAGTTGGAAGTTGTTATCTTTTAGGGCTTGAAACATTTCAAGCTCTCCTAGCCTTTAATGTTTGTATTGAGATGTCTGCTGTAATCATAATTGGTTTAGCTTTATATATGATTTATGTGTGATTATATGTGTTTGCCTTTCTCTAACAGCTTTTCAAGATTTTCTTGTAATGGACTTCTGGT